CAGATATTGTTCTTCTGGATGACCCGCTTTCTGCTGTGGATGCTCACGTTGGCCGTCACATATTCAGCCACGTTATCTGTCCGTTTTTGTATTTTGCTACTAATAACTTTGTTCCTTTAGCACTGAGTTTTATAAAAACGATATGTAGATCCTAAGAAAATCCTTCTGTATTAGTGACTAATTAGCATCATAAAAATATGGTTGTTGCAGCATCTCAGACTGGTCTCTTAGCAGGAAAAACGCGTATTCTCGTGACGCACGGATTGCATTACTTGAAATACTGTGACCGGATAATTGTCATGGATGGTTGGTTGCATTGTTTTTGTCCCCACAAAGAGTTCTATTTTTTCGAAATTTTCTTGCTGTTTTCGCCTTTATGGAAAAATGAAGAAGTTCGAATAACACAAGAAGTTTACCGGGCTTAGATGTTTCTTTGACGCTGCAGAAATTTTAAATTTCTTAAAATTTTCAGATGGCCAAATCAGAGAAGAGGGCACATTTGAGGAACTAATGCATGCGCGTGGTCATTTCGCGTTTTTTCTGGAGGAGTTTCTTGTGGAGGAAGTCAAACAGCTCTCGCAATCACAAAATCAAACGGACTGTTCGTTTTTACTCCCGAATATTTTTGAAGCAAGTTGCAAGTATGGGTTTAGGATTTGTATATTCCTCATTTCCTGTTATCAGGATTTTTAATCTATCGTCAAAAAATTTAAGGGCAAATTTTTGCAGATTCTATAACTAGGTCAGCAAATTCTAATAGATAGTGGATAAATTAATCTGTGTTGTGAAGTTGATAACCTTTACAATAACGGGAGTGAAGTATAGGTGGAGGAAACAGTCTTGGGTGGAAGAGGGGGGGGGGGGCGGAATGAGGAGACTGTCAGTAAAATGGACTTTCTTCCCCGCCTTAGTATTGGTTATTTGTATTGCGAAGTGTATTACAGCAACCGAAATGGACGAATTATTGGAAGATCTGCAGACTCTAAATCCCGAACAGCGAAAACAGTTGGAAAGTTTGAGAATGCCGAAACGATTTAATGACAGTGGCCCAGAATCTGGTACTGAGCGGGTACCGCTCACTGATAACAACCACGTTGGTGACATCATGTGTCTGCTTTTTTGTTTATCAATTAATTTTAGAATTTGGCAGCGAGAATTGCTCGCGGACATGTTTTG